CAGTCCCCACGACAGCATCCCAGCTACTGCCTCATGGGATGCCACATGCACCCAGCCCCATGGGGGCTGCCTTCATCCCTGGCAGCACCATGGACCCCAGGATGACCCTCCAGCTGTGGGGACTCCTCTGCAGGGTAAAGCCTTGGGATCTGAGCATGATCAGATGCTGCCAATCCCTCGTGGCAGCATTTGCTTCTGGGATGCTGAGTGCCAAATTGCATCAGCCCAAAGCATCCTGCAGCCCTTGGGCTGTTCCACACCCCTGGCAGTGTCTGCCCCAGAGAAGCACCATGACCTTTTCCTCTTTTGCATTTTTCTCCTCCTGCTCCTCCCCACTGCATTCATGGCAGACCTGTGAAAAACGTTAGCAAATTACTGTTTTTTTCACTGGCCTCTCTACTGCCTTTCCCTCTGCTAATTATTATAGCAGTGCCTCTTCTAGGGCAAGTCGACAGATGGTCGTTTTTTTCATCTTCAAACAAGCTATTTAATAAGGGCTCCTGCTTTTCCCTTGCACATTTCTTTCCTGGCTGCATGTCCTGAGCTGCTGGATGGGTTGTCCTTTTCATTGGGGATGCCAGAAGTTGTGAGCTGAGGCTGAAGGCTGAGGTCAGATCCCAGGGGAGGTTTTTTCCTTTCCTTTCAGAAAGGCAGGATAATTCTGCCCAGGGTTATGCCACCTTACAGAGCAATGCTCTCCCTGCTTACAAAAAGATATGATGGGGAACTAGTCCTCACAAGAAGGTGAGGAGGGCTGTGTCAAATGCTGGGTCTTGTGGGGCAGATCTCAAACACATAGAAGCCAATGTAGATGCTGAAACCAGCACAGGCCCTGCTCACACCAGGTGAAATCCATCTCACAGGGACTGCCCTGTGCTCTGGCTTACACTGTCATCATCTGCCTGGCTTTGCTGTGGCCCACTGGGTGCAGAGGAGGTAATCCTTTGTGCAGGCAGAGGGTCCCAGGATGTGACTGGGAACGCAGGGAGAGCTAATGGTGCCTTGGATGCACCACAGAGCCACGTGTGGCATTTGCTGATGAATGTCTGCCTGGGACATCGTGCTTGAAAGCCACATGGTTGAAGTCTGAAATCTCAGAAGGCCATAATGTGTGCATTCTTGTGGGCAGAGGCAGCTCCCAAGTGCTGGAATGCTGAGTGGGGCAAGCAGCTTGTGCAGTTGGCATGTGGACACAGAGAGGGTTCACTGCACCCTCCTGCTCTGGTGTGCCTGGTGGATGCAGCAAGTGTTTTTTAGAAGCTAAAGCTGACATTTCCCCAACTTGCCTTCTCCCTGGTTCTAAAGGGGGTGTACAAGGACCCAAACCCTTCTGGAACTGCTCCAGAAGAAAAGGGAAAGCTTCCCTTCACATGAGGGAAACAGGAGGTGGCTTTGGGCACCAGCTGCTTTGTGGCAACGCCTCAGCGGAGACACCAGCACCAGGTCCTGCTTCAGTTGGGCTCACTTTAGTGACTAATTTCCCTGCCTTTTGCAAACTTGCTCTATGTCTGGTTTCTCTAAAGAGCTTTCAAAGCCAAGTGGCCTGAGGACCTGGTTACAGCACCAGGCTGTTGGGTGACACCTGCCCTGGTGAGAGGGTTAGCACAGATCTGGGCTCCCCATATGGCAGAGCTGTGGCACCGTTCGCTGCTTTGTTTTCCCCTACCTTTATTTCCCCCTTCCTGGGAAGCTTAAGACAGTTTTGGTGACTTCTCTTGCCTTTCACTTGGGGAGCTAGAGCATTTGTAACATCACCTGTCCTGGATCACTCCTGTTCCTGAAAGGGCTGTTTGTAACGGTGGGGAAAAGGCCCTGCTCCTAATATCCCAGGAAGACTGATGTCCAACTAGCTATTGTCAAAGCCCAACTAGCAGCTATCCATACTGTGCCTTGCCTGTGTGCACCAGGCTTATCTGTTTCTGGCCTAGCTGGTACCAGCACAGAGATGTCTGCTCACAATATGTGGATTTGTGTTGTCCTCCTTCGCCTATGCTGTCCAAAACATAGGATCCCAGAATCATAGAACAGTTTGGGCTGGAAGGAACTTTAAATATCACCTAGTTCCAACTCCCCTGCCATGGGCAGGGACACCTTTCACTACATCAGGTTGCTCAGAGCCCCATCCAACCTCGCCTTGAACACTCGAACACAGGGATGGAGCATCCACAGCTTCTCTGAGCAATCTCTTCCAGTGTCTCACCACCCTCACAGTATAGCATTTCTTCATAATATCTAATATCAACCTGCCCTCTTTCAGTTTAAAGCCATCACCCATTGTCCTGTCAGTCTCCATCTGTCCTGTGGCCCCCTTAGGTACTGGAAGGTGCTATAAGGACTCCCTGCAACCTTCTCTTCCCCAGGGTGAACAATCCCAACTCAGTCAGCCTTTCCTCACAGCAAAGGTGCTCTAGCCTTCTGATGATCTTTGTGGCCTTCCCTGGACTTGCTCCAGCAGGTCCATGTTCTTCTTGTGTTGGGGACCCCAGAGCTGGACACAGTGTTCCAGGTGTGGGGGTCTTATGAAAATACTTTGCTCCAGGTTTTTTATTCAGTATAGTTAATAGCCTATTTCAAAAAAGTGGTGAGGGGAGGAAAGGGGAAGCACTTTCCCTGTCACAGGCAGTGGTGGGAGGCAGGATGGTGCCGAGGCAGCTGCGGCAGGGCCGTTCCAGCAGTGAGACGGTGGCTGTGGGAGCAGGGAGCATCCCCAGACCATACCAGTGTCTCATGCAGAGGAGCATCAGGGTACCCATGGCTGCTGCCATCAAGGAGACCTGCAAAGCTGTCAGCTTTCAGCACGTATAGCCCTGGACTGACCCAGCTCTGTCCAATCCAGCTGTGCAAACAGCACACAGTGGCAATTTGAGGGTGGCTTTAGCGCCTTGTGGGTGGACACCAGTTTGCAGCAGGGCGTGGGAGGAGACTTGCCCCATTGTCTCTGATTTAGTATTAGAAAATTCATGAAAGGAGCAAAGAGGGGTGACCAGCTCAGGGAAATCCTGCATATGCAGCTGGGCAAGTGCAGGAGAGGGGCATTTTCTCCTGTTGCTGGCACTGTGTGGGTCCTGTTTGATCAGCTAGTCAGCATGAGGCTTCTGAACATTTGACACATGTCCTGATTTTGGCTGGGATGGAGTTCATTTTCTTCCTAGTAGCTGGCACAGCGCTGTGTTTTGGATTTAGGATGAGAATAATGTTGGTAACACACTGATGTTTTAGTGTTGCTGAGTAGTGTTCACCCTAAATCGAGGACTTTTCAGTGTCCCCTGCTCTGCCAGTGAGGAGAAGCACAAGAGGCCAGGAGGAAGCATGGCCAGGAGAGCTGATCTGAACTGGCCAAAGGGATATTCCATACCACAGAACACCAAACCCAATATATAATCTAGGGGGAGTTTGGCTGGGGGCTGCTGATCAGTGCTGGGGGACAGGCTGGGCATCGGTAATTGCACTGTGCATCACTTGTCAGTCTTGAGGTTTATTCCTCTCTCTCACTTTTGTCTTGTTATTATCTTACTTTATTTCAATTATTTCAAAACTTTTTATCTCAACCCACAAGTTTTATCTTTTTCTGATCTCATCCCCTTTCCACTTGGGTGGGGGAAGAGAGTAAGCAGCTGCCAGGTATTTAGTTGCTGACTGGGATTAATCCACAAGATAAAGAGCTGAAATTCACTGAAAAGTCAAGCCTTTCATAACGGGAGGGAATAGGAAGGTATTCCTATGGAATAAGGTATTCCACATGGAATGTTGGGATGGGCATATATCACGTAAAGTGTTTTAACTGCTACAGTCTTAGTCTTATAGTCCTGTGGAAGAAGATATTTCCCTCTCCTCTTCCGCACCCTGTGTTCTGGGTTTTTTTTATGAACTCAATATTGTCTGGGACACCCCACCCTTCACGAGGAGGAAGGATTAGAAAGACAGGACTCTTGTATTCAAAAAGTAACTGATGACTGTGCCACACTGTCAGAACCCAAGGCTGGAGCATGGGTGCTGTGTAAAGTAAGATCTTGCCCTACGTGCCTGAAAACACTCCCAGCTTGTGGATTTTATGGCTTAAGACAGAAAACACAGCTCCTCAGCCAGCTTTTAACCTCAGTTGCATGCACTCATTAGCTGCAAGAAAGTTGCTTCAAGACCTACCAAGTGTGACAGAGCTCCTAAGCTGGTTAAATCCCACAGCGCTGCTAAACATGCATCATCATCCTTGAGGCACCTGCTTATTTCCAGCCACCTTTCCTACGTCAAGCAGGTGTATGTTCATGGCTCTAGGTTGTTGTATTCAGGATCTGGGCAGTGATTTTACAGAGGGGCACCTCTTCCCCAGCAGCTGGTGATGACAGGAAACCTGAATCTGTGGGGAATGGTGGAGCCTGACTCTGTGATCAGCTGTGCCAAGGCACCCCAGAGGCACCAGCACAATATTTCCAGAGTACCCCAGATGAAGTGGAAGGGGACCGATTGCAACCTGTACACAACAGTGACCCTGCAGGCACATGGCAGCTTTGGGTTTGTGGTGACCTTCCACTGCTCCAGGAGGACTCCACTCTTTGCATTGGCTTTGGGGCATCTGACCCAAGGGGCAGCACTTTCAAAGCAAGAGGCAGCAGGCTGTGAAGTGCTGAGTTCAGTAGCAAGTCTGCATTTAGGAGATGGGTAGAAACCAGTTACAGCAAAGCATTTGAGGGATGTGCTTAACTTAAAGTCCATCTGAAAAGTTCCAGAGAAAAACTGCATCTCAAAATTCTCTGTGGAAAAGAGCGATGTATTTTGATCAACTCCAACCACACTATGTATAAGTTATTGCCCATAATGGATGCTGTATAGATATAACAGGTTACAAATGCAACGTGACAGTGGTGGTATATGCTTTTTTGGGTTGTAATCCTTTGTACCAGCACTACCTGTATGTGTCTACAAAGAATCCACCCCAAAGAGACTTACCATCTTCCGATTAATAATAGTATCTGCACATTGGAGCAAGTTAGGAGTATTTCACATATAGACAATCTGGTTTTATTGCTTTCATCTTTACAGCCAGGTGTGTGATCTAAACATCAGGCAGAAACTTCAATAATCTTCTGTTTCAAAACATCTTAGAAAATGACTGTTTGGAGTGGGCTTATTTATAATATATCCGTGGCACACAAAAACATAAATGGAAGCCTCTGAATCCCTGGGAAATTCCCTGTCTGTTTCTTAGAGAGATTTCTGTCCTCCCAAGTGTTTCACGGTGGGCCGGGGGATCTAAGGGATTCTTTGAAGCCAGCAAAGAATTTGCAACCTACAGACAAGCGTTTTTTTAGCAGGAGCAATCTGAATCCAGCATCTATTCGACTCAGCTGCAAAGATGTATCTTGCCTCCCCCCACCCATTGCAGAGGAGAGCTTGCTTTGGGTGCACATGTTTGATTCTCCCTCAAAGGTCAGTTTCATTAACCTTGGGGTTATGCTTTGTGTAAATATGCACGTCACTCGGATTTGCATGGGAAATGTCATTTTCCTTACGTGTCTCCCATCCAAATGTTAACCAAGCCTGAGCCTACGTAGCCTATGAGATGTGCTGTGATGGTAACTGCAGCCAGCACAGCTGTCCTGCTCAGGCAGTACATGGCTGCACATGCCCAAAATTTTTACACAGCACACTCTGCTCCGCGGACAGCAGAGATGCCTACACGCTATCTGTCGTAGAGTCCTACGTGTTGGCAGATGGTGTGTGCATTAACACACAGTATGTGCTGCTGTCTCTGGGTGCACGGGCTGCTGTGTGGCCAGCTGGCACATGTGAAGCTGCTCTCCTGCCACAGCACCATGAGCCCTGCAAGGGTATGTGGGCCTCCTTCCCCAGAGGTGCAGAGTGCACAGCCATGAGCATCCAGCAAGATGGGAAGGAAGGAGCTGCAGCTCAGGAGAACTCTGCCTCCCTCCCCCCCCGCACTGGTTTCCTCTCTGCCTCACCGCAGGGTTGAATTTCACATTAAGTTGATGTCTCTTGAACAAGTTTATTTCTCCCTGGTTTCCTCTGGATCTGATCCTCAGAGGGTCTGAGCACTGAGCTGGCTCCTGCTGCTTTTGATGAAAAATCAGCAGTAGCCGCAGCAGGCTGCCCCCGAGGCCAGCAGGAGGCCAGGATGCCCAGCACTCCGTGGGAGCACACCCTTGGTGTGTGTGGCCGTGCGCCGGCGCACGCCGCTGGAGCCCAGGGACACCGGAGGGGGGCTGAGGCAAAGAAGACATTAGCCCACAAGTGACATATCTCAATATAATTTCTAAAACTCTATTAGTTGAACAGATAAAATACCTCTGATCTATTTTTGTTGTTTTGTTACAAAATGTTAGCCATTTGGACTGTTTGCTAGGTGTGACCACACCACTTTTCCCAAAGGAAGCTTTTCTTGGTGGTATTTACAGCAGGAGACAGGTACAGACAGACAGGTGCTTTCAAAAGCCTACGCACAGGTAACACTTCTGTTGTTAGATTTTAAAAAGACACATTCAGATGGGGCGGTGACTAGTGTTGAAGAGCTGGGTGACTTCAAAGCTGCTGTCCAAGGCATGGCTGCAAAAGAGAGGGCAGAACAAGGACAGCTCTAGCTCACAAAACACTGCTGGCAATCCCTGGAGCCTACACTAGCACAGTGAGGCAGCTGGTGGAGTGGGAGATGGGGGAGCTTGCTCAGCAACTTGCATTTCAAAGCAGAGACTCCACCAAGCAGCAGCATCCTTGATTTAGGGCTCAGATTTGTTTTGGAAACCTCACAAACACGTGCAGATAGTTGCAGGTTGAGCCTCCTGAAAAATGTAACAAAACTCAAACCCTTACAGCTCAGAGGCCCTCAAATACCTCCAAATCTGGTGGTACCTTTTTGTGAGGAAGTATGAGTATTGATGAAATTCTGGTTGTGGACCATACTCACGCCTTTTATCTACAGGAAAGAGAGAAAACATAAACAGTGGGATGCTTTGAAAGCCTCGTGAAAGCACTAAGTGTTTCTATCCCAGTGGGCCTGACTATGGCATAAAAAAGTACCACAGCAGACGACAAACACTGCATTAAACCCAAATTGTTTGCAAAGCTGATTCTCCTGTTGCATTTTCCCATCCCTTTGCTAGTGGTGCAAACAGATGAATTTCACTGGGCCTGCATCATCATGAGAAAGCATCAGGATGGAGCCTGACAGATTGTGTAACACAGCTCTGCAAACGTCAGTAACACCTTGTTCTCTCCTACTGTCCAGCAAAGCCACCTTCTCATTTGGCCACTGACTATCCAATACTCACTGCAGAGTACTCTTCACTGGGTTCCTCTTTTCTCTCCCCTCCCTGTCTCCTTTTTTAATATAAAAGGACATGAATTTGGCAGCAAAAAGACATTCATTTGGGTTGAGCTAATCTCTGCAGCAGCTTCCTGCCTGACCCTTCCACCTGAAAGATTGTGCTAGGTCCATGATCAGAATCACTGCTGTCAATAGCTGGTGATTTTTCTTTGGGCTGATCCCTCTGGGTGAGCTGTGTTACACATTTTGTCCTTCATTAGGTTGTCACTGACACGCTCCTTCTAGCCTGCACTCCATCAGTCTGTGTGCAAGGGTGTCTACTCACAGCAGTACAGCTACACTGAGTCTGTGTCTCGCTGGCGTGTGGGAGGGCTGTGGGAGCAGACAATACAATAGATCAGATGAGGTGCAGATAAGTTTTAAAGTGCTTGTCATCCTTCGAGACCAACCTCCAAAGGAAAAAAAAAAAAAATCTGTATTTTGAAGTGAAGTCCGAAGGGCTCAGCTACACAGTAGAATTTAGATCAACCTGCTCCATGACAACCTGGAATAGAGTAGTTTTGTGTCTCTCCAGCCAAATACAACAGAAGATGTGGTAGCCAGCAGGCTAGAAGACAGCAAGGGTTATCTCCATTTGCTTCTCTATCCAAGGCTCAAGGCCAGCAGTAGCCTTTGTAAGGTCAGGGAAACGGAGCCTCTTGCCCTGAGAGAATACTGTGCCTCAGGTACCTTGGCACTTCGGTTAACTCGCTTCCACCCTTCATCCAGCATGAAGAAAGGAGTCTCATGGAAGCTTCCTTATTTCTTCTTTAAATTTTTGTAGCTCTCCCAATCAATTATTAAAGCAGCAAACATCTCTTGTAGGAGCTTCACAGACATTGTTATAAATATTTTATCTAAAAAAAATTATTTCCTCAAGTACCTTAAGGTTTTTTGCTGTTGTCACTTTGTGTTAAATGTCAAGTAAAATCTAATTTATTTATTTTAACACACACACAGAGCTTCGTTGGCTCACTGCACTCTGGGAAAAAAACTGAACAAGTACTGCCATTCCTCTCAGACAGCAAAGTAACTGCTGGGAAGGGAGGGCAGTGCCAGTGCCTCCTGGATGCCACCGTTTCTGTTGCAGCAGTGAGTAAAAATTAACCAGCAGCCACACATTGACTTACACTGTCTGGACAATGGCAGAAGCCACACATCTTTCTCAGGAAGCTACAGGCATCTCTGATGAGATCCTGGCTGCAGTGAGGTGTCAGGGTGTCACCCTGGAGGGAGTAAGCAGCAGATCAGGCCAGCTGTGCCTCACAGCTGGCTGGAGGGTGAGGGGCTGAGCCCTGGCTAGGGGTGAGGACCTCTCCCTGTGTCCGGCTTTGCAATGTGGAGCATCCAAACTGCCCCGAGGGGCTGGCTAGAAGAAACCTTCTCTGGTCTGGAGGGAGATTTGGCTTCTGTTCAGAGTTTTCTTACAATCTTCTCTGTCATCTGCTTCTGCAGCCCTCCCTGAGGCTTGCTTGTCAGCTCCCGGTCAGTACATTTCTTAGGGGGTCTAAAAGCAGCAGCCTAGTGCTCTGCTCCAGACAGCCAAGAAAACAACCCAGACCTCTTGGCACATCTGGGTCCAGGAGTCACCTCAGACATAAGGGGATCTGGAAGTGAGCAGGCTCCTGCCCTGGAGGGCTGGCCAAGCACAGGAGACCCTTCACTCCAGCCCCTGTCCTCTTCCCTAACCCCAGATGGGCTTAAGCCCAGGTCACACATGTGAACATTTCAGCACAGGCAGCACCACCACACAGGCATCCAGAGAGCACCGAGGGGAGCCAAGGCAGTCCCTGATCCACTGTGGTTTTTGCCACTGGCAATAACCCCAAATATGAGCATTCTGGCACAATCCCTAAAGAAATTTTCATGTGGTTTTTACCCCACAAGGTAAAAAAGAGTTTCCTGCATCTGTCTTCACTGTCCCTCTTTCCCTGATACTTTGCACATCCCCACCACTGCTGACAACTCCTGCTATTCCTCACCCAACTGTTGCATCATCAGCACCCAGTGCTCATGTCTCAGCCTTGCAGGGGAAGGAAGAGTATTTCTGTCTTTCCCTCATAAAATAAAATAAAAATAAAGGCCCTGAAAGGCATTCTGTCCTATTTTAAAATCCTAAAGTTGATCTTCTTAAGCCTCGAAGGGAGATAGAATGAGTGAGCGAGACCAAAGCCTTTAAGCTAATTAATACCTTCCCCTCCCTACTGCTCAAAGAGATTTTTTTTTTTCTAAAAATACATCCATAGCCCATTTTTAATGCTGTCTTCCTTCACATCAATGTCCCTGATAAAGCAGAGGAGCTGAGCTGTCATCTCTATCTCGAGATCTGCCCCTCCCCTCATTTTGAAGCTGGGACAGAGAGGGAGACAGGAGAAGAGGCCTTGGAGTTTGGTATCTGGCCAGCTTTCCTATAGGAAGGGCTGATGGATGCAAGAGTACAGCTAGGCAAGAGATACAGATGGAACCTCACATGAGTGGTCTGCAAAAAGCCCCTTCCCTCTAACACAGGTGGAAGAGCCCAAGTGAAGGGAAGAACATCCACCCCAGAAGGTGAATGTAACACTTGGCTTTGCCTTCAGAATATAAAAATGCAGGTGGGCAGGAAACACAAAATCAGCTGGAAGGAGGAAAGCAGAGGTGGGTCTGTTTTAGAGAAGACAATCGTGTGTGTGTGTGTGTGTGTGTGTGTGTGTGTGTGTGTGTGTTGAGGTGGGAGGGCACCTCGCGGTGCCATCTCTTTGGAAAAGTACACATCCATTCCAGGAAGATCCCTGGACTGAATCCCTCCCTTCTGCTCCCTCAGAACTGCTTGGTGTTTCCTTTAGTAAGCATGCGCCATACATACGCTACCATACAGGTGTATTTACATGTGGTGAGGTCTGCTAGGTCTCAGCAGAGGTCTCTGGTACAATGATCCAACATAACAACAGAAATAGTTTTGGTGTTCAGTGAGGCCATCTTTGCGTTGTACTGCAGCTCAGGACAGTCTCTCCTCCTCTCAAACTCTCTTTCCCTCGTGCACTCCTTCGCTTGGAGCCGGCTGCTGCAAGGAGATAATACTTGAAGGGTGATGAGGAGAAAGCATGGCAAGTGGTACAAGTTCTCAGCTCCAGCTTTGCAGGCGGCAGCAGTGGTGGCAGGGAGAACTCCACCCCCGGGAGTGCCCCAAGGTTGGTCCTTGGCACGGGTGAGTCCATTTCTCTCCAAGGCTGGCAAAATTTTAGGATGGGTACAAATCTATGGCCAGGTAAATGCAAGGCAGGAAAGGAAGTCGAGGAGTAGGAAACGGAAGACACAGTGCCTAGAAAGCAGCAGGTCATCAAGCCTCTCAGGAACAGGGCAGCAAAGTGCTACATGGGGACGGCACGAGCACAGAGGCCAGCCAGGCTGGCAGGGTGTGAGGATGTGTGAGCGTGTAGGTTGGCAGGTTCTACAGATGGCTCCTCACAATTAGCATCATCTTGAGGGGAGACAGGGTAAGAGTTAGGTCAGTTGGCTTTTTTTTTTTCTTTTTTTCTTCTTTTACTAAAAAATACATCACAAACTAGATCTCTGTAGGCAGAAAGGGTCCCTGGGAGGTGGTGGGGAGGGGAAGCGGGGTAGTCTGTGCTGTTTTGGTGCTGGTGGTGTGGCTACACGAGGCTGCGTGAGCCACTGGAGTACCTGCGCCTCTGAAGCAGGGAGCTGGGGGGGGCAATACTGGTGGGGGTGGTTGTAGGGAGGTGGTGGAGGGGGCAGGGGAGGCTGATGGACCAGCTTCATGGGGGTCCCAGGGAGCCCGCTGCCCATACTGCGCCAGGGGGTGGAGGTGCAGGAGTCAGAGGTGACATAGCGTGTCAGAGTCTGGTTGAGGGCCGGCTCCATCCGAGCGAGGCACGGCTTGTCCAAGACAATGACTTTGACAATCTGCTGGCACTGTACAAGTGTCCCCGCCGAGGCGGGGTGCGCGGGCACCAGTGCTGTCTCCAGCCGCTCCCGTGGCATGTTAAGACGCATGCTGGGCTGCATTCCACTCTCGGGCCCCAGGGCGGAGTTGTGCTGGTACGTTTGAAGCCTGTTGTGAATTGACACCTAGTTTAGAAACAGCCAAAGAAGCATTAAATGTTACAAGACTTTTCCCATCTGCTGCTACTGGCTGCCCTGAATCCCCACCACCGGTCGGCCTCACATGCATTCAGCCCTCCCCTCCCTCAAAAACCCAGAATAGGTACAACCCCCTGCTGCACAGCCCCCCTCAATAGCCCCATTGCCCCCATCTAGGCCTAAGTGCCCCTGTCCTTTCCATCACATCAAAGGCAGCAGAGACGGCGTTCCCAAATGCCGTGCAACTTTGATTAATCCAAACGGCACAGGGAACACAAATCGACTCTAGGAGTGGAGGCGTCCGTGAATTCCCATGGTAATGAACAGACCTCGGAGGTCACGCCTTTGTCCCCACCCACAAAAAGGAGAGGGGAACCAGACCGAGAGGTTACAGATAATCGAGGTTGTACATTTCAGCAAAATGACGGCAGCTGAATCTGACATAGAGAGCGACAGAGAAACTCAAGCCTTTCCCAGCTCCCTGCCTTTCTGAGTAGGAAGGTACACCACATGACTGGCTAATCTGTTTACAAAGGAAAAAGCAGAAATCTGACATAGTCTAGCAAAAGGCAGCTCCCTCTGATCCACTTGATGGTTTGTCAGCGAAAGGAAATGATTTTCACAAAAAAAAAAAAAGAAAGAAAAATGCCCATCTAGCTCATACAATGATAAAAGAAATTCATGATGAAATGGCAGCAGATTAGATAATCTCAGAGAAATGGAAATGCTCCTCTGCTGGCAGAGTATTACTTGGTCATCTGAAAGGGGGTAGGGAAGCAGGAGGTCATCAGGGTCTCCACAGCGAGATGCTGATAATAGAGTCAAATAAGGGAGCTCACTGAAACCAGTTTGAAAAGGAGGAGCTGGTCTGGACTGGAGGGCCCTAGCAGGGAAAATGCAGCAGGAAAATGATGCTTCCCACACGGTGGATGAAGTTATAGTTCCTCCTGACAAGGACATAGGCTGATGGAGACCCCAAACCAGAGCAAACTTTCTGGCTCAAAACAGAATGCCAATCAAGTGACAAACCCTGGGTAGGAAACAAGTGCTTGCATGTTGGCATGGCACTTCCAGCTAGGCAGGGATGCAGATAGGCAGATGGGACAGTGGGGGTGCCCTGATGTCTGGCATGGTGGGCAGCAGTGCCAGCAACTGGGACAGAGAAGCTGTGGAGTGACCAAGCTTCCCACCATGCTGGAACAAGGATGAGCTGACTGTCCCTAGCCAAGCGTGGAGGTTTCTCCAACCCACTGCACAGCAGGACTTAATATTGTGTCGATATTTATTCAGGTGGAACATCCCACAGGAAAAACTAGTTGCTGGGCCATGAAGTGCCAATGACATTAGCACATTCTCCACAAGGAAACACTCCTCCCAGCAGAAATAGGAAATAGGAAACCGGCTGGCAGAGGCACCTTCCCCAGGAAGGGGGTATCTGCAGGGAAATACGATGTTCTTCAGGGAAAAGAAGCAGCACCCACTCCCCACAGAGAAGCTGAATTCTTCAATTAAATATACTTTGACAAGAGAGGAAAGAACTACTCTGGAAAAAGGGTAAGTTCAGGATAATGGAGATATTTCAGACAGGGAGAAAGTAGGAAGTAGTAGATAAGATTTTCAGTGGGAAGATTGCATTTTCCTGTTTCCTCACAGGCAGTGGGAGTATGGGTGTCTGTGAAGAAACAGGCAACCCACTGGATGCTACATCCCTGCAAAGATAGATGTACACAGTAAAGCCAAGCTCCCTACCTAGGGAGGTAAACCTCTAGGGAAAGTCTGATATACAAAGGCCATGCTTAATCCCATCCAGGAGGGGATGGAGAGACAGAGCTGCAGAGATTGTGCAGGAAAGCTGGGCTGCAGGGAATTTGCATGTGATGCTGCATGGAGTTAGCATGTCAGGGAAGTCTATAGTGGGGTTCTCAGTCTCCCCATAAGCAGTGGGGTGGGTTAGTCTACAGCGTTTGGGAGCTTGGTCCATGAAGGATGTTACAGTTATAAAAACGGATTGAAAATGCTTTGAAGTTTAGTTTGGATTTGAAAGTTGTATTACCCGTCCTAGCAGTAACTTTTAATTGTATCTCTGGAAATTGGTAAAATTGTCAGTCTGGCTGGGGAGGCATTGATTAAAACCTGAGAAAAGAAACAACAGAGAATGTGAGAAGAGCTGAAGTGAGAGGGAATTACTTACCTCAGCTACTCTGCACTCTACTTACCTCCACTGTGCTGTCCGAGACCTTCTCCCCCAAATCCTTCTTGCCTTTGAAATAAAACAAAATATCTCACTCATCAGGTCTGTGCCTCTAGTCAAGAGCTGGCCCTCATACTGTGGACTGGAAAGTTAAAGGGAGAGGTGCAGGGCCAAACAAGAACAAATCCAGACCCTCTTGCAACCTGATAGCTGCTTAGTGGGGTAAGAGGATACCTCTTTGGGGTCCTGTCCTTAGGTCCTGATCTCAGTGCCATTCTAGTGAGTTGGTAGCAACTCACCTCTGCACTTGATGTTTGCTGGCATACAAGCCTAGGCACAGACAGACACAAAGCCTTTGATACAAAGAGGCTGGTCCAAAGTGTTAGTGAAGATGCCGGAGGAAGTTAATTGTACTGAGACTGTGTTTCACCAGTTCAGGGAAGAATTCAGAAGTCACTCATGCTCCATCAGTAACACCTCTTTACTAGATGTTACAGTTACAGACTGGGTAATGAGACTTCAGCATTTTTTCTAGGATATTTGAAGAATCCATATGCTCTCATATTTCCACTATTTGCCCAAGGCTAAAGGATACAAAACTGAATGCTTCTTTTTGCAGTTATGCTCACAGGAACCAATGATAACACGCTTGCAAAGGCAGCACTCCTTGACCAAGAAAAGTTGGGTGTCCACTTACCTGTTGGAGAGCCTTGCTTAGACTGCAATTCCATCTGGGCTCCGTTGGTCCTTAATGAGAGAGTCTTTGTCCCTTGCTGTTTCTCCAGTTCCCCTAAAAGACAGACATGTGGAAATCAGTGAGGAGAGGGATAAAGGGAAGGACACCAGCATATTGAAGGAGCAAAATGGGAAGTCAACAAGGAGAAGTAATGCAAGAAAGTAATGCAAGAAGTAATGCAAGAGAGTGTCAAGAAGGGAGAGAGGAACAGCCAAGAGTGCTGCACAGGAGGGGACCACTGATGTTGAGCTGCTTTGGCTCATCAGTTTATGCACGGAAGAGCCTTTAAAGGCTACATGGACATCTCGTCTGTATAAGACAGGCCACAGAGTGGCACAGACTGCTTGCCCACTAGACATTCCTGAAGTGAAGGGGTACCAGACCTGTCCCAGCTATCTACAGATCATATTTACATAGTCAAAGGAGTATTAGTGAGAGAAGAGTCTTCTGAGTCTGACAGTCTAAGCTTCACTATTCCAGGCCACTGTATCATAGACCCTGTTCCATAAGCACTGTAAGTAGTTAAGTTCTTCCATTTCTCCTGTTGGCCAGTGGTCACAGTGTCTGACTGCTTTTTCATCTTTTCAGTGAACCCAAGAACAATCCTGTGCAGACTTGTGCTACTCATCCTCTTTCCTGCTGTTCCTGAAGAACTAATTTCCTTTACCCTTTCTCCCTTGTAGTCACATGCAGTGTGATGGCTTTGGATTGTGAATTGTATTAGAGACCCTTACACTCAATTCGTATCTGTTCCAGTTCTGTCACTTCTGCTATTGACTCTTTCAGATCTTCTACAAACTTCTGCATTTCCTCAGCACCCAGAGCACAGAAGTGTAGTACCTGTTTCTTCTCTGAGCCTGAAACTGGAGTCACCAGTGTAATGCCATGGGGGTAATCTGTAAAGAAGATATAAATAAAGAGATGCTAGGCATTCTTGCTGGAGTAGTTGGCTGCTTTGGTATCTCTGAAGAACAGAGAGTTTTCAGGATTAGTCCAAAGGAATGGCACACCCAGAATTTGTCACACTGCAAACTGTGGGAATCTGCAGCATTCCAGCCCTGTAAGAGAACTGAATGGCCAAGCTGCAGCAGCAAAGCAAGTGCCACCAGCACTACAGTGCTACCAAAACCAGAAAACTCTAGCTCTTAGTTACACTTAGTGCAATGCTGGCCCTGGGAAGCTGAGCACACAGGTAGGACTGTAAAGCCCTTCTGAATCCATGAAAGAGTAAACAGCGTATATGAGGCCAACACCACTTTCTCCTGTGGGAGATGCATCAGGAGAGGTTATCTGCTGATGTCAAAGCCAGAACAGCCACTAACATCCACAGTGGCAAGACTTCTCCCCAGTCTCTACTTTGATCTTCAGAGAACATGGCAGGGGTGTTGGCACAGCATTGGTGGGGGCGCTCATTGTGTTGTGCGGGCAGAATGGCAAAGAGAAAGGTGTGGGTTTGAAGGTCTCTGCTTAGTACTCCCCACAGGCAAAACACACAGGAATGTAAATGAAAGGACATGCCCAGAGAGTGAAAATATCTCAGCAAAATTCCTTATGTTTTAAAGATCAGGTTGAGTGCAGGTTCTGACTGGAGATTCAGCCAACACAAGCAAAAGAATGAGAGTGTACAAAGAACTTAACACACTTTTGACTGGACTTCCTCTACCTTTTGCTCAATGGCCAGTGGTTTCATTCCCTTTTCTCCTTCCTTTCACAGCTCTCTAAATTTAATTTTTTTGTTCCCTTCTCCTGCTTTCACTTCTCCTCCACTGCTCCTACATCTGCCTGCCTTCCAGTGGCAGTCTTATATATGAGCCTTCCCATATCAGTCTTTACCAAACAAGCCGAAGGACTAACTTTTTATTTGCTGCCAGCCCTCAGCTCCCCCTGTTTGTGTGCCAGGCCCCTTTCCCCACCCTGTGTCTCTCTCATCTGTTCAGATCACAAGCTCTTTAGGACATCTGCTTTTCTGTCTCTGCAGGGAATACACAATAGGATGCCCTTGCCAGAAGATCTCTGGGCGCTACCAGGATAGTCACGCCAACCCTGAAAGCTGATTCCAGCTCTGATGGTGCCTCCTGGGGATGCTCAGTTATGAATGACCCTTTTGTTCATACAGGGATGTGAGAGCTTCTGCATGTTGCAGAGGGTAGGGTGTTGAGGGAGTGACTCATGCTGCCAATAGAGTAGAGAAGGGATGTAAAAAACTTAGTACAGCCACAGTCTGCCTTTCTTGCAGCGTGTTCTGCACGTGCTCATGAAACCCCAGTGGGCATCAGCCATGCTTGCCTGGGACTGCTGTGCTGCCCCTCTGCCTGTGCCAGCAGGAAGCCTGCCTGTGTCTGGAACTCCTCCACTGCACAACCAGTCTCAGTCATGACACATCATGGCTCTATTCCCAGACCATCAAGGTCAGGCTGACTAGGGCTGGCCCCTCGCCATGCTTTGGTGGGTGCTGTTCCAAGGGCTCTGCTTCTGTCTTGGGAAGCTTTCAGCACAGCACAGCATGGCACTGTGCAGGGAGGCAGCGGCAGCTCCTGAGCCTCTACCAGTGTCAAAGGTAGTGGTGGGAGCTGTGACTTTGGGCATGAGGGGACAGGGGCTAAAGCTGGCAGCAGCAGTTTCGTCAGCAGGATTCTTCACCTACAGTTGGCTCCTGAGTGCTCAGTAGGATGTATATGAGGACTGATTCCCTCATTCCTCACCACTAGTGTTCTCCCTGACACCATGACAAGACAGAATGAGTCCCCTCTGCAGGTGCTCAGACCTAGGAGAGGTACCAGAAGCTTCTCATCACACTGTCCCTAAACAGTGATCTCCTCAGCACCAAGCCTCAGTTTTCTCCCCTTCACTTTTAACTCTGATAGAATCTCTCTCCTGATGCAAACTCACACTGGGTGACACAGTCCCCTCCCTCCTTCTCCTTTTCTCTGGCAAACCCCTCCAGGCAACCAAGGAGCAATAGACTTACATTCGTTCTCAAAGAGATGGAACTGCATCCCTAGCAGGCCGACTGACTTGCAAAATGTGTACGTTGAGGAGCTTTTCTTCTTCGGGCAAAGCTTGAGGATCTGTTGGAGGGAGAGATGCATCACTGGGCGGGGTCTTGGGAAACAGTGAGGCAAGAACAACGCAAACTGCTCAAAGCAAAAAAGCTTTTAGCAAGCTCTGTTAAGTGTAGATGGGAGCAGTGCTTGGTGACTGACAGGCTCTTTGCCCAGAAAGCTGCCTGGCATGCTGCACTCGTAACAACACTTCTGAAATTCGGTAGGCATCACCCTGGGGCCCACTCAGCTCTCTGTCTCCCAGGGGTCCTGGCTTTTCGATTACCACATTTCTGACTTTGCAAGGGTAATTCTCTTCACCAAGGGTCAGATAAAAAGGCAAAGGGAAGCCTGTCATAAATACGTTAGAGCTGGGAAAAAGAGCATAACTGAATGCTGTGCTGCCTTCATTCCTCAGCAGTAGTTCTTACGCATCCTTGGAGTAGAGGGATAGCAAGGAGCAGACCCTCTCCCCAGATTCACAACTGTACAAATGGATGCAGAGGAATAGTGGTAAAGGTCTCTTATACTCTGCTTCTACAAAAGTGTTTGGTTTTAGCCTTACATTTGCAAAAAACACAGTTTCACTTTGCCATTAAATTCAGCAGGGCTTCCATTCTGTTCATCCTCCTCCCAGTCTCAGTGTACCTGTGCTCTCCTGTACCTGCCTGAATTCAAGGTTGCTGGGGCAGGACACTTTCAAAAGTACTATACACGTTTGGGGGTCTGGCAAGTACTATACAGTCTGCTACTGCCTTTTCCATGTTAGAAGGCAGTGGTTTTAAAGTGTCTGGCAGGAAAGATTTAAAGTGCATGAGAGGGCTCTGCCTACTACAGTACAAACAGACAAAGAAATGAACCTCGCTTTCATGAAATGAACCTCCCTGCTGGCAAAGGCATGAGAGAGAGCAATGACATTGCTTGGATGGCTCTGGGATATGACAGTTTGTTTTTTCAAGGGTTAGTAGAGTTTTAGATTTAGCAGGTTTTTAACAGTGAAGGATCCAGAACTACATCTCAGAATGGTGATGAACCAGGAGATGGTCTGTCCTTAGGAGACAGGGGGAAAATGCATATTGTGGGCTGATTTTAGATTTCTGTTCAGAAATCAGAGCGAGTTTTATTACTGCAGTGCCTAATTGTTAGAGCACACTCACCACCAGCAGGTCATTGAAGAGGAAAACTTCCCTTTGGTGAGCTGCCTGCTTCTGCACTTTGTTCACGTCGGTCACCTCGTACAAGCGGCTGCAGCAGACCAGCCGGCGATGGGGCACGGACAGAACCTGCAGGGAACCCACAAAGGATGCAGAGGCTGAGGGAGGTGCCACTGGTGTCTCTCCCACCCTCAGCCTGTACAACCCTGCCCAGTGACAATAGCTCAAGCCAATTCTGCCCACTCAAATCATCTCCTCACCACCACTCCTCGCCATCACTTTTCCTGCTGGTGAAATAGCAGAGAGAGCTGTGCCTCTGTGATCTAGATAAATCAGGGGGCAGGCTATAGGCAACCCTCTTGTTTACACCACCTGCCTTTATATACCTCTGCCTTCCAATCCCTGGATGACTGTTCATCCTCTCTCACCCCACTGGACACCTGCAGGTTTCCTGGGCTTTGAGAAATTATTCTGCTCCTTTTGGGTAAACAGTATGTGTGTTCTTGCATTACAGATTGGTTACTGCTAAAGAAGCTGACTATGCATTTGGGGATCTCTTAACCCCAGCAATCTTTAGGGAACTCATTAGAGACAGATGGCTAAAATTGTTTTCTATCACTTTGCCTTCCAATTCCTACACCCTTAGGAGGCCTGAAAGTTTGAAACACTGCAGAGCTGTCAGCGGAGCACTGGCAGGCAGGACCTGCAGCAAAATTCTTGGGCAAATAATTACTGCCCTAGATACTGCAAATTCTGGCTAAGGAGATCCCCCGAAATTAGAAGAGAATGAGATAGCAGGGAGAAAAGTGTTTGGAGAAAAAGGAGTAAATTCATCAAGACAAAAAAAGAAAGTATTACATAGGAGGAGGAAGGGCATAGAGGAAAAACACAGAAAAGAGGGCAATGAGGGAGGTAGGGGACAGAGGGTTTTGTGCCAGCAGGGTTATGGATGCTCACCGTTTTCATTCCAACTATGGACTTCTCCACTTTGGTGACATAAGTCACATGGTCCTCATTAGACTTTAGCTCTTTCTGCTGGATCCTCTCATAGATTCCCACCACCAAGTCCCGTGGGATGTCAGCACCGTCGTCCACCCCTGCCAAACACAGACAATGTATCGTCCCTGGCAAGCCACTACTGCCTCTGCACTGTGCAGTGCTGGGAAGGCTGAAGGGGAATAGCAATACTTCACTTTAAGCTGTCTTATTTCTTGCTCTAACGCATCTAATGCACCAGCAGGAGAGACTCACAACTCTAAGGCCAATGCAGAAAATTTCATTATTCCACTGCTCTGCATGGTGGCTCCTTTCCATGCATTCCCTAAGGTTTTATAGCCACAATTTCACATTGATATATCTTGGGCCATTCAGCAGCAACCCCCGCATTGATTTCATATCATCAGAAGTGCTAGATGTGGAGAAGACCTATGATGGGATTCAGCAGCTCTTGCTGCCAATGCAAGCATCAGCTCTCCTTGTCTGCTTGGTGACCTCCACCACTTTCCTTCTGTGTTGTCTCCTAGGAGTAATTTCCTGCTGTTCAGTCTGTGATATTTCTGTCTTGATCCTGCCCCTTTCCTCTTTTACATCTCCTTGGGTAATTCTCCAAATTTTGCTGTCTGACCCTTCAGAGCCTGGTAGAAAAGTTTTCTTTTACCCTTCCCTGAGACAAACAGTGCAAATCGAACTACCAGTTCTTTCTCCAAACTGAATTCCTTCAGTCATTCTATATTGATTTTCTCTGCTTTCCCTCCAGCAACTTGGTCTGAGATGTACTACTCTGAGTGATGCAGGTGACCAACTGCTGAGGAATGGAGAGGCATTGTCATCTCCTGGCTCCCTCCTCCACGTCCTTGCAAATTCATCCTGAACACCCTGTCTTTTTTCAAACACAGGCTGGTGAAGATATTGACCTGAGAATCAGCCTGCAGGTGAGTCTGGAATGAACTGTCTCCCCTTGTCTGTAATGGGGTGACATTCACTCGCTCGAGTGAGTGAGTTGTCGTGTGTTACACACTGGAGGTGAGGGACCCTCATGTTGGCTTAATTCATTGTGATGTTAACTGGTAGATTTTCAAGCAACTCTAAAGATAAAGTTAACAATTGAAAAAAAAAACCCCACCCTTTTGAGTTAGTGCTTTCAGCTCTAATACTAAAGGAGATGATGGCAGGTAGCATCCCCATTCAGTATCTCTAGAATTAACTTGAAAAGGGACCTCAGTGTCATATTATGCCAGTCTGAAGCAGATGACAAATTGTGGAAGGTGTGGGAGGCTCAGACGACAGTTTCTGAACAGCAATCAGGACAAAGAAACAAGTCAAAGGAACCCACAGAAGTACAAAATCTTCAAAAAAATACATGAATTTACACTGGAAAAACTTTGAGGGAGCGTCATCTGAATTGCAGATGTGCAGTAAGAGAAACTTGGAAGATGGCTGAGCTAAGATGACCTACGACTGAATATGGCTGGGAAATTAGACAAGAATTTGCCTAGACATGATGTCAAAAAGGCCAAATAATACTAAGCTCCATTAGCAGATCTGAAAATAAGGATGAGGCGGTGGCTCTATGTATATGAGTATGTTGTGACCACATCTGAAAAAGTGCTTTTAGCAACCTATTACCAAGATGGGAAGGACTGACCTTGAAAACAGAAGAAAATTGATTTGGGGAACTGATGTATCAGAAATTGCAAAGAGGTAATGTATGCATGAACTCTGTCACGCCTACAGTTACTATAAGTAATTGTAGGCAATTAAGAAGGGGAAGATTTAGCCTGAATAGAAGGAAAATGTGCTCATATATTCAACCGGCAAGGAGGGGAAGGGCTGTTTAGCACAATCCAGCAGGGTCTAAGAAGGATAGAGCTGAACAATAGGAAAATTTAATACAATGAACTGCTTCCAAGCAATGAGATCTATTAAAAGATAAAACCATCTCTCAAGGAAAATGGCTGGTTTCAGAGAAGGCTGGACAGCTTTCTGCAGAAGAAAAAGCTAATTAGATTTTTCCCTTCCCCAGCATCCTAGAAGGGATCTCAAAGGGCTTCCCATGTCTGGCTTACAGGGAGCAGCAGCAGCCCTGGAGAAAGACAGTTCCCCTAGATTTTTGCTGCCTTCACCTAGGCAGAATTGAGAGCAGTAAGATGGCAAAAAAAAAAAATCAAAGCAGGACCCTCACCTCTCAGATTGCGAATGAAGTCCTCCAGCATCATCTTCCTGTCGGGCTTGATGTTGGGGCTGTACATGTCCGTGTTGAGGAGGATGATTGCAAAGGCCAAGATGAAGATGGTGTCCGGGTTGTGAAACTGCTGGACCACATCTGGGTTACACATGCAGTACCTCTGGCTGCAGCAGGAGGGATGCACACACTTAACATGGAACATGAGAGCCCTCTGCTCCAGGTTGGCAAATTGCTCCTTTCACTCCACCTCTCATAAAAACAAGAAGGAACTGACTGCTCTCTGAAGGCAAGTTTCCCCACCAATGGCTGAAGTAGGCCACTGAAACTTCAGCCTTCTTGTCCTCAGTAACCAAAAAAGCAAGTGAGACTAGAGAGGTGTCACTGTGTAAGGGTAATACAGCAGGTGACTACTCCAACCTGCCTTGCTAGAGACAAAGCACTCCTCTGGATGCACCAAGGGAGCAACCCAGCATTCCTGCAAGCCCCACTGCTGCTCTTCCTTTGAGCACACCAATGAACAGGGAACCCCTTGCTGGCAGACATGTCAGCACTGGCCTCACTCTGGCCCTTTGTGCCCTTCATGCCACCGTACATCTGACAAGGATGTGGCTCATATGCAGCAGTGGCACAGAGGACTCCACACTTCAGTAGCCCCTCCATGGCCACCCTCCTTGGAAGGGAAATCCGCAGTCATTCTCTCCATGACTGTTTTCTTGGGTGTGTTCTCTGCTTCCACCTGGTTGCAGCAGGAGGACTGCAGGGCTCATTCTCTTACCTGAAAGCCTCAATTAGCCGCTCCACCTTCTGTGCCTCCCCCTGCACGCGGATGTGGGCCTGGAATTTCCGCAGGGCTTCATCCAGCTCCATGCCTGAGAAGTCCATCTCGTCCACCACGCAGCTGTGGGAGGGGGACAGCCTTCATCAGAACATCCTCCCGCGGATAACACCCGGCAGGCTCCTTCACTGCAGTGCCAAGGCTCAGTCCCCCAGGGAAATACCATAGGAAGTGTCCTGAGACATCCCTACAGCTGCCCAGGTCATGCTTACAGTAGGCAGTAATTTCAGACAAGTGATTTCTGTGTTCTACAGCTGGTGAGCAATTCTTGTGCCTAACTACATATATATATATATATATGTTTGTGTGTGTATGTGCACATACACCATGATATATACAAACCATACCACATACAGAATATATATATTTACACATGCATATACAGAGAAAGTATATATAAATATGAATTTATATTTACCTGCATCTATATAGATATCTAGACACCTATATTGACATAGATATTTAGACACCTATATCAAGACCAATATCAATACAGAGATAGATCCATCTATTTCTGACTTTCCTATCATCTGGTAATCCTTCACACATCGTTCATTCCTCCGTCCCTGTCAGCACATGCACTTGTTCACTACCTGCTTATCCATCCTTCTGTTATCTCAGTTCACTGGCCTGTTCTCACCCTCCATTCTGCACAGTATCCATCCCCATTTCCAACCCATATCTTCTTCACCACTCTTCACTCCCTTCTCAACCACTGCAGCAACAGCGTTCATTAGGTCTTTTAAGATCAGAGCCAGCTCAGGGAAAATAGGAAATGGAAGCTGTTGTACAGAAGTAACATTGCAACACCACCTTCTCATCTGGTATCACTTTTCATTTCAAAGTGATGCACTGCTCACTCGTAATTCATGGCCAACTTAGATACTCCAAGAAAGGGATGCTACCTCTTGTATTTCCCAGTAAAGCACTGTCAGCTTATAAAGGCCCTGCTGTTAGACTCCAAAACCTACTAGTACCGTTCTTGATGTCTGTATTAGTCAAATAATCTACTTGTTCTTATTCTTACAGCATGATATTTCAGTCACTTGTAAAGACAACATCTTCCCCATGTGGCTTCAGCACATTCTGTTAGCTATTCCTACCTTTTGTGCTCAGGTCATTACTGCAAGCATTAATCAAAAGACTAGACTCAGAAAAGTCTGTTCATAACCTCCCTTAGGCCCAACTTCCCATTTCAGCAGAGCATGTAGGCACTAATATCTGCATTAGCCAATTCTCTCCCCTCTTTATGATTCCTCTGCTAATTTCTCTCTCTTCCACTCTCCACGAAATATTTCTCATGTCTAATGCTTTGCTGAAGTCTAGAATTACCTTCTACATGTCCTTTGTCTAGAAAACTAGTTATTTTAACAAAGACAGATATTGTATACTGTCCACTGGCTTTTCTATGTTGCATTTACCTTCCTATCTCTCATTATTCTTTCCTACAAATAAATTTTCAAAGCTGACATTCTGTCTGACAGACCAAGAAATTCACAGCTGCCAAAATCCTATTTTCTTTAAACCTTCCTTAAATACAAAAGTTACTAATTTGCTAATGGCATCAACTTGACATAAGAAATGTACTAAAAATTCAAGAACTTCATATTTTCTGCGTCTATAGACCTTGAATACTAATTCTATCTACCTCTCTCCAGCCTTTATTTCATTCTTTGTATTGTGTTTGGATTGCTTTCTCATGTTGTAAAGGATAAATTAACCCCAACTTTAAGGTTAGGAGGAAATTTTCCCCGAGACAGGTTGTCTGGGACTGTACGAGGAGTGGTACAGGGAAAATAGAGGGGGAGGGGATTAGCTGTCTTCTAGATCCTTCCATTTCCTAGGATTACTGGAAATTATGCCAAACAGACCTCTTCCAACAAAGGGGTGTGCTGTCACCAGTTTCTTCTTCTTCTTTTCTGTGATAAACCAGAGATGTGTCTGTTGGTCTTTTCTACAGTGCTGCAGTTTGCTGTGGGCTCGTTGGGAAGTGGTTTGTGAACTAGGCTGTTGAGTGCCATGTGCAGCCTTACTGGAATAAAAATCTGTTGTACAATGCCTCAAATGCGTGAGGGACAGGGTTCAAATGCTCAGAGACATCTCTCCATTCTTCCATTGCCTTATGGATTCAAAGCTGAGATATCATCATTTAACTGGGGTGACACCCACAGAATAACTTACCAAGAGCTCTGAATGAGCATAAAGTGCTTTGTAGCTTCTAAAGCTGGAGTTGTTACAGCCTCAGCTAGGAAATGTGGGCTCTTTCCCTGCACAAACTCCATATCATCGAAATTTAGGAACAATTGATGAGGAGCAAGGGAAGAGAATCAAAGTGACTGCTCTCCCAGAAAATCTTCCATGAAACATTTTTTTCTCCCTCCAAGAGGTGGACTGCAGAAATACTCACAAATGGTTTCTGGCAATAGGAAAAACTTCCTCCACTGCCTCTTCCCTTTGTTATTTTTATTTTTCTCATGCTTATACTCACTCCCTTGGGTTGACATCAAGGCATTCTGCTTCTTGGAATTTATCTTTGATACTAAGAACAGTTTTTCTCTGGTTAGTCATTATTGTGTTCACAGCTGCAACCACCTCTGCACTTGGACTTTCATTGTTATTTTTTTAATCCTTTCCAAAGTGTGATGTTTCTCAGCACTGACCCCAATGATTTTGCTGCTATTGTCTGCTTCCAAATACGTGAAAGCAGAGTCCTTGCACACACCAGGGAGACCTGCTGAGGTCACCCAATCCACCAGCATTAAATCATCTATCTTTTGCTCCCTCCTTCCCTCTTTGATCAGTCTTTCCCCTTCCACACAGGCTGCTCTAACATGTCCTCCCGTTTAGAAATCTCAAGTAATAAAGTCAATGCCCTTGATACAGAAAGCATCAAACCTTTATTAGGACAAGTAGGACAAGACAGCTGCTCATAGCTCTTTTCAGACTCAAACAGGCATTGCTACATAAGTTATGCTCAGCTTCTCCTTTGAGAGCTTCTCTCATGGATACAGGTTTACTTTGTAAATTTTAAGAACTCCTAGGAGTCTCTTCCATTTGTTCCTAAGCCCAAAGAAGGGTGTCCTGCTTCCTGAGAAAAGTTGACCAGGCAGAAAAGACAGGTCAGGAAGAATGTTTGACTCAAATGAGGTCAGCCCGTGCTTGGATTTTATTTATCTGACAAAGCCTGTGCCAAAGGTCTGAGGAATAGCTCCTAGAGGAGCCATCAGGTAGGCTGCTACTTTCTGCTGCTAGACAGACAGAAAGAATGGTGGCTCATAGCTGTCTGATACTTTTTGTGAGCAATTTGGCACAGGAAAGTTCATTCAAAGAAGAGCCCTGTGCTATGAGGCTGCCATGTTCCTGCTCCTCTGCTACATGGCTGCAAGTTTTGCTGCTTTGCCTGACCTCAGATTCCTGTGCTGACTCCCATTACCTTCCCGAATGCACTGTGCAAGAAGGTCTTTTCTTTCCAAGGCAGAGACCCTGGAAGCTGACATAGGATATGAGAGTGGGCAGCTCTCTGCATCCAAGGAATAAACCAACAGCTTATGTGCACATGCCAAAACCAGTGCCGGGTTCATTTTTTTCCACAAACAGCAGAACACCTGCTGTGAGATGGCAATTCCAAGACCTCCAGGAGCCCTGAAGGATAACGAAGCAGGGGCACAGTAATCACCTTATAAAATCTCCTCCAATTTCAACTCCTTCATGCCCACAAACTTGCAACAAGCCACACAAATTGAGCTCACAGTGCATCCAGAAACTCATTTAGCCCAGTATTTGCAGGGATATGGCTTTGGATGTTTGGATCATGTTGCTGAAGTGTGCAGAAAAAGTGCTGACACCCTGCCTCATAAACAAAGTAGTGGGGTTTGAGGGCTCTTGTGCCAGCTGTATCCATGGGGAGCTTGCTGTGCCCTGGGACACCCAACAGACAGGCACCTCACAACTGTAGACTGTTCCACACCAGCTGCCAGGACCAAAGAGTGGGCTTCTAGATGGATTATTTTGCCCTGCTATTATCTCTGTGGTAGCCATGCTGCCTCCTAGGCTACAGGGCATTCCCCCCAAAGGGGGTGGACATAATGGCTTCAGAGCTGTGAGGACTTAGCACAGGGCTAAGCATGGCAAAAAAAGCCTGTGGCAAAAGGGTTCAGTGAAGGCAGGAAGCAGCTGTATCATGTGGGGCTGGGATCTGCTCACCCAAGTGTAATGACCTATTTTCCAGCTTTTCCGCTCAGGTGACAAGGCAGCAGGAGCTGGGATGCAACTAAAAGTGTCTGTAATGAACCTACAGCCTACACTCAGGGAGGGAGCAATGGGGGAGGCAGCCAGGTGGAAAGTTTAAAATCACAAGGTACAAAGATATTAATAAAAAATCATCCCTTTTCTCAGCTTCCCTAATTCTACAGGCTTCCTGCAGGTGAACCAGGATTTGGGTGAATTGTAGAGGAGGGGCTCAGCTCCATGTGAGGAGGCTGCCCTGCATGTGCTAACTGAACAAAAACTTAGCAGTACTCACTGATTCCTTGCACCAGTGGGCACAGGCATGTGTCCCAATCCTGCCCTCTGTGCCCTCTTGTGCAAGGATAGGCTCTACAATGAAGACCATGGCCTGCACCAGTCTTCTCTTTCAGGGGGTTGCTACATGACACGTATTGCCCGCTTTTTTCTGGGGCTGATTCATGCCCACTTGCCCTCCCATGGTTGTTGGTGTCTCACATGGCTACTTGGGCACCTACTCCTTCCTAAGCAAGGAACTGCCTAGTGTACCATGCCTTGCACCGAAGCTGCCTCACAAGTACAGAGCTGTTCCCACACCAGACATGTTGACCATGCAGGGGAGGGTTCTGCCCAGCCTACACCTTCCCCTCCAAGGGACATTGGGAACATTTCCTTGGGGAACTAAGAAAACTACTGTTTTCCCATGGACCTAGGCAGGTTCAAGCTGCACGTTCAGCCTTCACAAGCCTGACATGGGAAAGCAGTTCTTGCTTACGTTTGATCTGTGCTACAGCTCTGCTTGCAGCAGGAGGCCAGAACTGCCTAACACATTCTTCCCTCTGTCCTGTTTCCATCACATCATTATCTATTGCTCCTCAGCACAAGTTGCAACACCGTGCTGCTCAAACCCTCCTGTGACGCACGCTCCTTATTGATCCTCTGCAACGTCCTCAGTGAGAAGGGGAAAGAAGGCTAGTTTGGGCTAACCTGGCAAGTTCATTATGTCAGTCCAAGAGGAATCTAACACTTCTCTGAGAGACAGTCTCTTTGCTGGGCTTCCAGCTCTGCACTTACAGTCCTAAGAGCAGCTTTTCTGTCCCTGACTTTTCCATGAGAGAAAGAAAAGATAATACAGGCTTGACAGACAGGAAAGCTGCTCACCTACAGGGGGAGGGTGTCCAACAGCAACTCACAGTCTAACATCAACCAGCCCCCGACTCAGCACAACATCTCCTCTGCTTGAGTCCCTGCCCATTTTCTCCTCTTGTTCATGAATAAACAAGAACGGATAAAAGGAAGCAATTCCTGAGCCAAAAACAGGTAGAGGGGAAGAATGAACTAAAGCGAAGGGAAATACGAATGAACGACAACAAAAGCAACAGATAAACAGAGAATGAATAAAGGATGCAAGAATGATGATGTGTCTCATATTAAAAATATGTTTTAATGCCTTGGGATTGACTTTTTTAAAGTAATAAAGTTTTTTTTCTGCAGTACTTGCCAAATAGATTTGATTAAAACTGCTCACTGCCACATAGGTGCTTTAATGACCTGGTCTACCTCTTTCCAGCTGTATTTCCTGGACTGCTAGACATTGAAACCCTGAGATAGGTCCCCAGTGACTCCTCCCAGCTGGCTGCAGGACAGGTTGTAGAAGCAGATTCCCAAGAGAAGAGGCTGGATCCTTCTGTGGGATGCTGATTGCAGTGAGTGGTTGTTCAGTGGGATGCTTAAAATAGGTTACAGATGGGATTTATGCCCTGTAACACAAAATGCCTAAAAGCTAGATGTCCAGCTTAAACCAGCACACTGAGAAAAACAACACTCTTGAGGGATCCATGCCTCTTTGATGAAAGGAATTCGTACATTGATAGAAAACACTAAATTTGGTGGTGGCCAACAACACTTGAGATAAATCCTTATTTTAAAGATTGAAGCCTTTTCTACAAGAGAAAATTACATAGTGCATCTTCCTAAAGAGACAAACCTGAGCAGGTTAGTGTTATCAAAGTGTATGTGTCAATGATAGTCAGAAACTGTTGAAAATCCCCTGCCCTCTCCCTTGATCCTCTGACTAGTGTGTATAATTACTTGTGAGTTATCCATACACCTTTTCTGAGTTCCAAGAAAATCAGTTAAAGGTTGAAAGATAAGAGTGAGAAGATGGAAGGGAGACTATAATTTCAGGGCATTTAGACAGTGGGCATGAAGGTGTAGGAAGGTAAAACAGCCTACCAAACCACTCCAAACCTCATAAAACGCTTACCATCGCCTAAACCCTGCCCATGTACATAAAAGGCTTAGCATCCAGCGTGGCTCTTCTCTAGAGCTTTGCATTTACTAGGTGGGCAGTAAAGTGGGACCGTCTTCACAGTGCCAAATGCCACTCTGCACTCCTGAGCTCTGTTGTGACAGCAGGAACAGACAGAGGTTGGCTTGTCTGTCAGCCAGCACAGCTTCAATATCTGTGGGAGCCAAGAGAGCTTTGCAGAGTATAGACTTATGGCTGGGCTTTACAGTTGAGTCTGGAGTCTGTAACCTGGGCAGCTCTGCCCTGCCTCCAAATGCACAAGGGAGTCTGACACTTTTGCAGATGTTTTAAAAGTTGTCCTATTATTTATTCATGCAGCTGGGTTAATTTAACCTGGCTGCAATAGAAACATTGCTTACAATACACAATTGCAACATAAGTTTTCACATCGAGCGAAAGCTAAACTAACACAGCAAGTGGCATCAATAATTGAAATTGCTTTGGGGAGGTAGAGGAGGCTCCAGGGTCAGGATTGGGATGTGAAAGAGCACAGATACCCCTGACTGCATGCAAGCTTGCTCATGCAGGTGGTCAAGCCTGTCCAAGAACTGCTGTGTGCTCATGGCCACCCTGCCTGGACATCTGACCTTGCCAGGACTAACAGTGCCTGCTCTTCTTCCACCAATTGGGCAGATTGTGCAAAGGCTACTGTAGGGGGTATTGTTGCTTCAACATGGTCTCCAGAGAATGCCACATGCCTTAACATTGGCTTTCTAAGTGTGGGTAGATGCGAGGACTGCAAGACAGCCCTTGAGGACACTATTCTCCCAACTTGAGTCAGCGTTCCCGAGCTAGTTTGATGGAGTTGGATGGGGAATGAGAACCAGTTCTAAGATGCCAAAAGGTCCTTGATCTGCCTCTTGTTCCCATAGAAACAGTTCAGAAGTTGTGACCAGACCCTGAGCTTTAGTGCACTGTAAATGCCAGCACACTATATTACACAGCCAGCCCTCTTCTTCCTGCAGCATGGACAGGGAAAATATCCAGGATGATAATCCCGAGCCAGAATTTCTCCTGTCAATACTTTCTTAATTGTTTCCATGCATGTCACACTCTTAGGTGCACAGCCATTGCCCAGCCAGCCCTCACAAGCAGCTGAGGAAAATTTGCTTGCAAAAACCACCAAACATTGCTCCCTCAAGCTCAGAACTGACACAGGAAGAAAGTACCTTCAAACAGCACAGCTACAACCAGCTGAATGTGCGTGTTCTTTCTTTCCTGTTTTACAAGTTTTGTGTATATTTTAAGACTACTTTTATCTTTGCCTTTAAGGAAGACAAATCAGCCATTTATTGTGAAGAGGGGCTGGCAGCACAGACTGTTAGTGCAAGTATATCATCCGTTGCCTGAAGAGATCAGACACAGGTTTGAACCCTGAATTCAGACTCAGTTTCTTGATATACATTTAGACACACACAGTCCATGTGCAAGATATGTCCACAGCCTCAGTAGCTCAGTCCTCATCTTCGAGCCTTGCTTTCTACAAAGGACAGCAAGGTAAAAAGGGTGGCAAGGTCACTCTTTCATAAACATTTGCAGTGGTACAATGAGAGGTGCAGTGGAAACTCAGGTTAATGAGCATGATGGAGTAGGGCCCCTGGCTTCAGTGGCCCCCCCGCTATATGGAGAAACAAGACAGGCAACCACGACACAGCAGCTCCTGGGCCTTGAGGCTGGGAGGCAGATACCAAGCTTTGCAATAGGGACTGTTCTCAGGAGCTGCTGACATAGAGTTTGTAGTCCCATGTGAGGCAGAAGAACCTGGTCATTTGAAGGGATGATGCCAAATTTAGGACTACAAGCTAGCAACAGCATATTGCTATTGCAATATTTCCCTGTCTCTGCAGAGGCTGGGTTTGGACTTCAGCAGATTATCTGTCAGGGGAAGCAGGCCACACATTGCTTGCTGGAGAAAAAGAGGCAATTACTTTTAATTGTGGCTCTCAGCATGAAGAGACTGGAGAGAACATGTGTCTTGTTGCTGGCCAAATCAATACCCATACAGTATATTAAAAAAGAGATGAACTAAAAGTCAGGTAGCTGGAGCAATAAGCAACAACAATTGCAGTGGGAATGAATTTTGAAATCTGGACATAGATTTGGCTCTTGAACTTTGTCATCCTCCAGTCTTTTTCTGCAATAGAAGTTGTGTGTGCATTGGATTTGGGGCTTCTCTATGGTTTGGTTCAAGAGAAACCACTGCAAAATTCAAGTGAGAGAACATTTTGGAGAAAGAGAGAATATAATGAAGGACTCAATGCAAAGGATTTCCCACCTAAGAACTCTGCTTCTGCATAATAAAAGAAAAGATCCAGCTGAGTTCTGGTCATCCCTTGAAGTGTGTCTCTGAATGAGCTAGACTTGGAGGGAGAGAAGTGGCTGAGAGACACAGGGTTTGTGTGACCAGGGGAGAATTGAAGGTAACAACCCAGCAAAGACAGTGACTGAACAGAAGCAGGGGGGAAATCTGAGATCTTGTTCTGAAAAAGGACAGTTCAGCTCATTGGAGATTTTGGAGTGGGGATGTTCCTCAGTGCTCTGTGACTGCAGTGGCAATGACAAACCCTTAGTAGCATGCCTCCTCATGCAGGCCTTCTCAATCCACTTCTCATTATCCCTGTAATGCAATTGGACAAACTGAAAAGGACACTGATCTCCAACCTGGACAGAAAGAGAACCAGTTGTGTAGCCAGCATTCACTTCTCCCTGCTGGTCAAGGAGCAGATATTTTTCCTCCTCTGCCTCTCTTAGTTCTTCCCAGAAAGTATCAGAGGTGCTTTATTTGGGTGGGGTGAGACACCAGCCACAGAGTTTCCCAGACTCAAAACTTCCCAGCATCACTAGTCCTAACCCCTGACAGTGCTGAGCTCCTGCTAGATTATCACAGGCCTTCTGAGGAAAGACTGAAATGAAAGGGTTGATGATATTAAACACAACACTGGGAAATGTGTTGAGGGGTGCCAGTTAGGGAGCAGGAATGGTGAGGTTCCTGCAGAGTGGAAATGGAGGGGCATGGAGGACAACGAAGTGCTTGCTGATGCAGCCAGGAGAACAGTGGGCTGGCAACTCCTCTAAAGTGCAGGAAGGAGGGGACTAAGTTTCCACACTTACTCCAAGACATCTCTGTTGAACTGCTTCTTGCTGTTTCCCAGGAATTCCCCAATCATCTGGCGGCTGAGGCCCTTCCGCTGGAGCAGAAAGTGTGCCACCCCAATGGGGGTGTCCGGGATGAAGCCTCGGGAGATCAGGAACTGGATCCCCTTGTCTGGGTTTCTGAAAGGGAAGGACAGACATATGGTGAGTTTGCATGATCTCTCTGAGGCATTATTGCCTCTGGCTCCCCTCATGGCTTCCAGCAATGCAGCCCTTGGTGTGTGCCTGGGCTCCTATGAGTTCATGCCTGTGGCAGGAATGGGACTGGCTGGGATAAAGAAAAGTGACTTGCAGTGTCCCACCCAGTTGGTGCTGAGGACAAAATGGTGGCATAGGACCTGCTGTGTCACTTACAGCACCTGCAGTCAGCTGGTAATCACAAGTGCCATCCCACTGCCACAAAGGATCCTGCTGCATTATACCATGCCTCATCAGTGACTCTCTTCTGCCATCCATCTGCTCCAGAGTCAAAGGCTCTTGTATCATCCCCGTCCCACTGTGTCCCACACAGACAACTCTGGAAGTGTCACTACATTCAGTTATTCCAAATGTAACCCACAGAGAGATGTCCCCAAGGACCAGAGGTGAGAGCTGGGCACGTCACCCTTTGCTTTAGGGGAGCTGGGGTTGCACCTTCTGTAAGGCCGACAAAGGCAAAGATAAAAATGTGTCTGTGAAGAAACTTAGGAGATATTTTTGCCATGATCTCTGGGCAAATGAGGATCAAGACCCAAAGGGGGATAATGAAAGGTGGGCACTTTTTTTGTTAAAAAAATAATTCTCTTTTTCATACATTTTCAATGCTCAGTGTTGAGTGACACTTTCTACCTTCCTCACCTGAGCTTGGTGCTGGCTGCTTGAACAGAAATCCCATACTCAGATTTGCTTGTCTCTTCCTCCACTTTCCCCATCCTTAGCTGTTCTGCCCTTCTCTATTGATTCACCCTCAGGCAGAAATCTCTGTGTGTGAGAGAAGGCACCAGGAGCACACTTTGTCATAGGTGGGAGGGAGCTTTGTGCAGCTCCCAGACAGAGGGTTTTTCTCCCTCTGTAGTTGTGAGTGCCTCTCAGAGAACAGGTCTAGTGTTGAGTGGGCCCAATTGCCTGGCTGTGGGAGTCATTTTCTGCTTGATAGTGCGAGATACAGAAATACAGAATGGTTTGGGTTAGAAGGGACCTTTAAAGGCCATCCAGTCCAATCCTCCTGCAGTTGTAGGGATTTACAACTAGATCAGGTTGCTCAGAGCTCCCTCCAACCTGATCTTGAATGTCTCCAGGGGTAGAGCCTCTACCACCTCTCTGGGCAACCTGTTTCAGTGTTTTGCCACCCTCATCGTAAAAAACTTTTCTCTATAATCTAAATTGACCCTCCTTCAGCATAAAACCATTACCCTTTGTTCTATTGCCATAGGCCCTGCTAAAACATCTGTCCCCATCTTTCTTACAAGCCCCCTTCAAGTACTGACTGGACACAATAAAGTCTTGTCCTGGAGAACAAAAATCTTCCTTCTTTTGTCCAGGCTGAACAACCCCAACTCTCTCAGCCTTTCCTCGTAGGAGAGGTGCTCCAGCCCTTTGATCATCATTGTGCCCTCCTCTGTACTCACTCCAACAGGTCCATGTCCTTCTGGGGACCCCAGAGCTGTATGCAGCACTCCACATAGGGTCTTACAAGAGTGGAGTAAAGGGACAGAATCTCCTCTCTCAACCTGCTGCCCACACTGCTTTTGATGCAGCCCAGGATACAACTGGCTTTCTGGGCTACAAGAGCACATTACCAGGTCGTGTCCAGCCTCTCATCCACCAGCAACCCCATGTGCTTCTCAACAGGGCTGCTCTGAATCCGTTCATCCCCCAGCCTGTATCAATACCAGGGGTTGCCCTTCCCACTTGGGGGGTAGTGCATGTCTCAACAAGTGCACGTTTGTGTATATGTATGACCTGTACCTGCAGATTTCTTTTGCACCCTACATGTTTGTCAGAGCCTGTGTGTCTATGTGTTTTGGCTTGCTCCTCATGCCTCCTATAAGCACACGTGCTTCTATGTATCCTGGGAGTGGCTGTGAGCCTATGTGGTGCTTGTCCCACAGGACAGACAAGAATGAATTGTCCATGTGTGTTGTGCAGGAGGTTTTCTTATATTTCAGTCTGCCACGCTGAAGGGTCTCTGTCAAGGTGCACTCTTGCTGAGGTGAATGAGAACAATGCCAGGAAGATCAACACATTCCTTGGGTTCTCTGAGCTGGTGGGTGGGGAGAGGGAAGAGTGTCACTTCATGAAAGGATGCCATACTTCCATCATTAACCCAAATTCAGGGTTCTTTGTCAAGGCTCAAGGAATGAATTTGCTCAGGCTGTTTCCTGGGGTGGGGAAAGGATAGGATGATATTTTGGAGCACGTGAATGCATGATATGCACAGGCACAGACTGTGACACTGTCAGGTGGTGAAGTATGTGGGTGAGCAACATATGTCTAGCTATATGGGGACCAGCATTCAGCAGAATGGCCTGCTCCTTGCAGAAGCCTCATGGGCAGACAAAAAGTGGATGAGCTTGAAATAGTTCTGCTTACTGTGTAATGTCAAAAGAAAATATCCTGGGCAGTGTGGCATCCCTGGGGAGAGTGGCTGTGAGAACAATCAACCCACTAAATGTATGAATGGGAGAGCTGCAAGATCTGATACCGAAAAACCCAGGCCTTCTTCACAGAAAAGCAACAGTACAGCTTCTTCATTATCACACAGACCTCTTGGTTCACCTTTAAAGAGCACAGGTAAAGTTCCCTGCTAAGTGCTGAGGTGATATGGTCAGGACAAGAGTCAAACTAAGCAACAGGGATTCATAAAATGCACATCCACCTGCACACTTTGGTATTTGGCAAGGGACAATACAGTGTTCACAAACGAGGATGAACTCAGCTACACCAGTGTGACTCCAAAGGCACTAGACTGACTTTGGATTTACTCCATAGGAGTTGGGAGCTGAATATGGCCAGAAAAATGCAGCTCATGTACTGGCATGGATGTGCAGATTTCAGTAGAGATGGCACACACAACGCAGAGGATGCAGAATAAAACAGTCCAGCTATGACAGCCCCCCTGCACTGCCTCGACTATAACTCAAATACACTGGCACACACTACTCTTTCGGTAACAGCAATCTTTCATCTCTTCTTCCTGGGATTCAATTTGTTCCTCACAAAATCCTGATAGCAGTACAACATCTCTGCCACTGAACACCTGCAGATGTATCCCATGTACTGCAGTATGCAGCTTTTACCCAGATGTGTAGCAAACAACTCCACTTTCATCTCTCCTGAGCCTAGTCTCTGCTATTCTTTTTACTGTTGCAGGGGTGTTAAGCACAGCCAGCAAATGCTGCGGGATTCCTCACGTCCTGCTGGCTTTCCCTCTGCCCACGCAGCCAGCTGCCCACACACACTGAGCTATTACAGCAGTGCTGCAGAATGAAGCACTCTCCGTTCCAGGGATTTCACCCCCTCACTGTGCAATGGGGACGGGGAAAGTGCCACCGCAGCACAGCATCGATGTGTTCCCAGGGGCTGCTCCAGGCCAGAGTGCTGCTTCCCAAAAACGCAGCACAAGGCCAGAGAGACTATGCTGCTGGCAACTGCAGGCTTCCAGTTGCTGGTCCAGGATGTGCACACGCACAGCCTCAGCTCCATGCCCCATGGGTCATTGTGCCCACATTGCAAACTCCACAAGGGTAAACTGGCTCATTCCTAGACACTGACAGGGAAATCAACAACCAAATGCCTGCAGAGAGCCCAACAGCCTTCCCAGCCCCTTGGGTGGAGGTGAACTACGGTGTCACAAGGGGAGCCACGTGTCCACTCAGACACCGATCAGAGAATAAAAAAACCTGCACTCCCCAGAGCTAACAGGTCAGTTTCCTCACTGCTGTCCTCGAACCTGATCTCAGAACTAGTAATACATCATCCTCAGTTCTGTAAGAGTCCCAGATCTGTCTAATCTAACATTACTTCAGTTCTGGATGGGCTCTGAACCCAGCCCTAAAAATCTCTCTTCTCGGTTCCTGCCTCGTGGAACCCACAGCCTTCATACTACATGTATATAAATGCTGTGCATTTCCCTTCATCTGTTCAAAACTTCTGCCTAGGACTGCATAATCATCAGTCCCCACTCTGACCAAAAGGCCCATGCTAATGTGTGGTAAAACATTCTTTTAATCTGGGTACATTACATCCTCACCATTAGGTGACTCAAATGGAAACCAAGACAGCATAAGATAAGAGTGTGATGATGAAGCAAACCTCAGTATTTCTCATGGCTTTCTTAGATGAGAAAAGTCTCATCTAAAAGCAACAAGCAAATCTAAAGGTCCTTATAGGAACTCAGCTGCTTTCTGCCAATCCACAATAGGCTACATATGACCCCATGAGTTAACCTCTTCTCGTGGTAACCTCTGGGCTGCTCTGCTTTTGCTTTCACACCTACAGCCTTCTCATAGGATATCGAACTCCAATGTGTAAGAGACTGAGATGACTAAACCTGGTCTGTAAGGTGAAAATTCACCCAGATATCTGAAGGTAAATGACAGCCAGAGATGTAATTTTGTCATCATGACTCACGCTGGGCTAGCTAAGCTCAGCTCTACTTCTCTCTCTCTTTATTTGTAATTACCCCATGTTAAGGAACCAGGGCTGGGTTTACCACGCCAGCTATGTTTGTTCCTTTTCACATAGTGGAGCAGGAGCCTAGATCCCAGGCTCAGCTGGTGGATGCCAAATGGATGGCAACGGGGACTGAAGGTACAGTAACTTCTGAGAGCATGGGCACTAGTCATGGAGCAGTGGGCTTGTTCCTCTGTTAGATAGAAGATCAGGACAGCACTTGTGGGAGTGTAGGGAGGAAACTTCTGGGCAGCCAAGCTGTGTCCTTCATTGCATACCCAGATGGCCATGCCCTTGAATATGAAAGAACTTCCCCAGAGATGGATCTAGACCAAGAGTCTGCCATCACCTGCTCCTGTGAGGCCTGAAATAGGCTGGGAAACACGACAGAGGAAGAGTCACTTACATATTGAAGAGGTTCAGTCCAATGCGGTAGAGGCGCTTCCTCATGGTGTCTGTGGAGAGCGTGGGGGACTTGCAGCTCGCGGGGTTCTCGCAGTGGTACCTGGGGAGGCTGAGGATCATGGCCTGCAGTGCTTCTTTCGAGGACACCTCAGAGGCTGACTTGGCTGAAGTGGAGGTGCTGCTGCTGCTCAGCTGCTCTGAGTTATCTGCATTTTCAGACTCAGAGCCTTTGCTTTGCCCCGCCTCATTGCCAGCATCAAATTGGAGCTTCTGCACTGCCATCTGATCAGTCTCAGCACTGCTGTCTCCCATGCCATTAGTACTGACATCCACCTCGGTGAAAGTGTGGCTGTTCTGGAGAGCTCTGGACTCAGGTAAGCTCTCTGGAGCAGATGGTGGTTCACTGGCTTCTCCTTCCCCTTCTCCTGGGCTTTCTTCAGCCTTGATAGCTTGAGAGAGCCCAGCCTGCTCATTGCTGCTGAGGCAGTTTGCCATGGACACCGAGGTAGATGACGAGACAGAGATGTTCTTGTTGTCAATCTGGACTGTGACATCTCGAAAAGCCATCATGAGAGTACTGCTGCTTTTGGGTAGAGTATCTGGCAGGAGACCTTCCTCCTTCTCCTTGTCCTGCAGCTCAGCTTCTAAGTCTTGGTTTGGCTGCATTGAGCTAGCACTGAAGGTCTCCCTTATCTGGTATGAGCCCCCATCTTGCAGGGAGCACATGGTCTTCAGGCTCCAGTTGCTGAGGGCATCATCAATAGACTTGGCCAGGGACTGAACTTGTTCTGTGAAGGAGTCCTCCAGCTCAGTCAGGGCCCCACTGATGGTGGCGGGCAAGGACGGGGACCTCACCAATGGGATGCCGACGAAGTTGTATCCCTCCACCAGGGCTTTCTCGGCGGAGAAGCTCTCCGAGTTCTGGACGCGGACTTTCCTCAGGGAGATGCGGCGCGGCATGCGGCTCTCCAGCAGCGAGTTGCGGATCTTCTCAAAGTTCTTGCTGAGCTGGTACTGCCGGAAGGCGGTTTGGATGGTGCAAGCTGCCCTGCGAGACACCAGGTGACCGCCGTATTTGTGCTCTAGCATTTCGATCTGAAAGACACAGAAACGAGATGGCATTTTTTGCTAATTGACTTCTGGTGGCTTTTCGTTACCCCTGTTCCTATACTGATTAGGGTTAATGACTGTCGAAGGAACTTCTGACACTGAATTAGCTGAATTGCTTTCAGGGCAATGCCGTGCCCATGATTTCAACAGAAGATTCCTCTTCGGGCATGGATGGCTGAAACACCAGCACTAGGAACCTCCTCACAGCTGCAACATGATTGTGTCTCTTTCCAGAGTGCCAGTCATACAGGCTGGAGCCTGCAGGTGCCCTTCCCTTGCAGACCCACTTTTGATGGCCTTTAGGGCAAGCTCATCTCTGCAAATACAATATTCCAGTAATGTCTGTTCCTACTTTCCTGCTCAGCACTGCTCTGTTAATGTCAAGCATTATCTCTTGTCTCAGAATGATTCTTCCCTCCTTAGTCACCTTAGGAAATACTCCCAGGGAAAGGATAAATCATTCAGAAAAAGGGAAGAAAATTTAATTTTTAAATGCAGAAAATGGTGGCTTGATTATAGCAGCTAGTGAGAAACAACAGCTTCCATATAAGTTAGTGGAGGGTGGGCTTGCTCTGAGTTTGTGTCTTTTAAAAAGCACTCTGAATCCCAAAGTGCATTTTGTTCTGATATCTGAGTTTTTCAGGTATCAGCCAGTTTTGAAAGGTAAAAAAATCTGAATTTTAAATGTTGAGACAAGATGTTAAGAGCAAGCAGGAGGGTTTACCTGAGCTGGCAACAACAAACACACATGTAAATACATAAATATATACACATAGCTGAAGAGCCATCTCAACTGGCTTCAGCAAAGCAGGTATGTGTGGCCATTTCTCTGCTGTAGTCCAGAATATATACTTTCTGGTAATCCCCTCACCCTTCCTCTGCAGCTGGGCTTTCACTAATGTGCTACAGGAGAATGTTAGATGATGTGGTTGCAGCGAGTGACTGACAGACGACAAGGGGGACAGTGTGAAGATGATCGTGGAAGATGGGATTGAAGAAAAAGAAGGATGAACTCAAACTACACTCACTGATGTTTTGGCTGTACTATAAGCTAAACTCTACATTGCTGGCACTTCACAAGGCAAAGGGCAAGTGCAGATTGTAGTGTTTATATGTGTGTGCACACGTGGAAGAGCCAAAAAAAGGTGAAGTGTTGGTTAAGTCAGGCCTGAATTAACAGAAGATTCACTGCATCATTCATGTGGGGAGTATGAGCTCATTAGCAGAACTGAAGGACAAGTTTACTAACTGCATCCTCATCCCCAGCCAGATACCACTTGCCCCTCAGCATGCCTTGTTGGGTCAGTACAGACAGGATGAAGGACTGAGCTCACACAAGATCTGAGTTTAAGTGCAAATTGATTTTGTAGTCAAAGGGAGACTGAGGCATGAGCCTCAGCTCACAGAGTCATGTCATATTGTCTGCTTTCTTCTTCCTTCTTTGTAACATTACGTAATTTACAGGGAGTGATCTAGGTAAAAGTGAAGGCCTGGTCTGACAGATGTGAGAAGTGTAAATCACCTCCGGAATCTTTCCAATACTAACTCCTTTGGAAGTAGGGGAAGATAACGTGACCCTGGGAGAAGTTAGGAAGAAAGGAACATGACCCTGGCTGCAGCAACATGTCTAAGGATCCTGCTGCACTGGATGTGAGGCTGCCGTTTATGGAACGGAGCGGGGAGGGGAGCACATCCTTTCATATTTCCCACTCTGGACACGAAGTAGGGAATCTTTGCCTTGTGCTCAAACATAAGGTAGGATTCTGTTTTCTGTTTGCCTTGCCCTCAAGTTTTATGGATAACCAAGGACTCTCCTTATCCTCAGTGTTTGTTATGGCAGGAAAGAGGAATACAGGGACAAAAAGAGATTCTGGGTAGTAAGCAGAAGTGTTTTGCTGGGGTTCTTTGTCTTGCTTTTCAAAATGACCATCTCAAGGCCCACCACAAAACCAGCCACATATCTTTGTCTCCTGCCACATATCCTTAAAGTTGGTCTGCCTGGAAAGAGACTGAGCCATCCCTTGGTCCTTCCCTTCAGGAGGAAGGCTCTTGCAGATAAATGCAAATTAATCCAGTAACCTGCAAAGGCCCAACCCAGACAGTTAGTACTGACAACTGACCGTGAGCATTTAATATAATGATCTTGTTAATGAAAATGTAGAGCTAATTGTGTTGGGAGGGAAAGAGGAACAAATGGGAGGGGCAGGCACAGCTATCTGAGGGACAGAATAATAGTAAAATGCAAAATAAAGCAGAAGCGAGAGCCTTACAATTATCTGAGGTTTCCAAGGAGGTGACAGCCATTCTGAAAACATGAAATTCATATGCTCTGATCTTATTAGAGGCCAAGACAAGATGTCATTGCTGATCTGAAGTAAAAGGCCAGTTTATCTCATGCAAGGACAGTTTCCCAAAAGACAGACTTTAATAACTACTGAGAAGACATCCTTCTGAAAGTCTAAAGGAACAGTGCAAGCTATCAGTACCTTGATAAAAAACATCAGCAGCTTTTTGCAGTCTATAATCTCAGTCCTCCAAAAGGGCTAAAGCATTAAGAAGCAGAACAAGATCTAAAATGAGAGGACTGCCAAACTAGTCAGTTTTCCAGCTCATTCCAGGGGTGTAAGGATGGATTCTGCATGTGGTCCACTGCCATTGGCCCTGTTAAAATCCTACAATATCCTGCAGCTGGGATAACAGGGACAGGGACTGTACCAAAGGATGCCTGAAAAGACTGGCAGCACCCCTACAGAGAAGTGTGCTCCCCACCCTTGCTTTGTAGGAGCAGGTCTCTCTCTCTCTCTCTCTCCTTGATGTAGTCCAACCATTTACTGTTTACTGATGCCTGAGATGTACACATTTGCTATCAGGTCGAGCTAACTGACAGTCCAAAGGAATTAAGGATTTCACACAGCTGTGGCCTGTGTTCCTCCTCTCGAGAGGAGGAAAGGACATCCATTAGCACCACAGCAGTCATAGGTAATGGAGATGTATGTCAGGCTGGCCGGAGGAACCTTCTCTTCCCATTTGAGAGGTGAGAAAGGCCAGACATGATTGGCCTTCTCTCACTCCTAATAAACCCTATGAATCTCAAGTAATTGCCTACTTAAAGCTACTCTTCTCTGGGGAATGATCCGACAGCCGGCGCCAAAGAAAGGGAAAAGCAGGAGAGGGATCGGGGTGGATTTCAAAGAATAATTAGCTTAACGCATTTCTGGGCCTCAAAATGAACACTCATTCTGAGCAATTCAGGCCTTGTGGCTGAATTAGAAGTGGCTGGGAAATATCCATTGCTGTGAGGGATTGCACATGAAGGGAGCTTTAACAAGGTCAGCCTAAGGCAAGACGAAGTGCCAGGCCTGGATATGGCCAAACATTTGAGGTGCACGCCCCTTGGCTTTGTTGCCCATAGGCATAAATTCATAAATCTGCCAGGAGAAAATGGGCCTGATCTTATTCTCAGTTAGCACTGGTTTTCCACCAAGGTTGCCAGTTAGCATGGCGATGTGCCACCATGTTAGCAAGAAGAGAATCGGGCTTAGGGACAGAATCTGAGTCACTCCAATGCATGCATTGCAAAAAAAATTAAAAAAAAAAAAGACATACAGAGCATACATGTTCTCTACCAACCTTTCTTAATGCTTCTCCACCCCTCCAGCCTTTCACAATGGAAGAACATTGTTATAAGGGCCATGTGTTAATGGGATATTTTCCTTCATGCCTGGGACATCTGCCATCCTTCAGCACAACCCAAGAGTGTGTATGACAGAAAGCATGCTCCTCTCTCCTGATACCCTCCATTTTCCCAACATTCAACAGAGTCCAAGCATAGGGGAACTCTAGCACTTCAGTCTCCCTTCCAACCTCCCAGCATAGTGTACTTCTGCTCTGTGCACTGTCAGCAACCTCTGCTTCATGGGATAGAAAGCAAGGAGAGCCATGAAGCCACTCACCAACCCTGCAGTATGATGCTGAGAGGCAACGACTGGTCCAAGCCTTGCAGAGGAGGCTGTACTCTACCCTGCTACCCTCCTGACTAACACTCAGTCCTCTCCCAAAAAGTAAATGACTTCAATTGTGCTTTGAAACTAAAAATGTCTCTTTTCACCTGTTTTTCTTATCGTAAATTCTGTTAATGTATTACAATTTGAGCTATGACTAGGGTTCTACTGGGACAGTGCTATGCGGGTCCTATCACTCTTATTCCCATTTAACAGAACTACCTGACAAATAAATTGATAGGAATACCTATAAAAACACATACTTGAGTGCAAGAATTGAAGAATTAATACTCTTCACTGCCTGAAAATCTCCCCTTCCAGAGCTGGAGGCAATTCACTGAGGACAACCATCAGGCTGGAGAGGCACACATACTGTAAGCCCCCTTTGCTGTGGGAAAAGTGGTTTCACCTACAAGATAGGCTAGGTCCGTGCAAGGTCAGTCCTGCAAGGCACCAGAAATTAATGAACAATCAGCTAACATGTCTCTCTGTCTCACATGCATCCAGGGCAGGTTTGGCCTCTGCTGCAAGAACAATGATAGGGCAACATGACCTTAAAGCTAAAATAACACAGGACAGACACCCCAGGACAAACCAGAGCAGCTCTAGGACATCGAGGAGGCTAAGCCCATATATAGCAGTCAAGATCTGGCCCACCCCGAGGATATGTCACATCAGTTTGTTAAGCCAGTTAATTAGTGTCTCTTTTTTTTTTTTCCTGGTGTGAAGCAATAATTCTTTCTGAGTTGAGCACACAGTATTTTGAGAAAGACAGAGCTAAAGAGCCAAGGTCTCCCTTTTGCTCAGAAATTTACTGAGCCATTGATCTGACATGTATGTTTAGGGACAGCAGCAATGCCTTAAGAGAAGTGGCAAAGAGATATCCTAGAAGTAGCAGTTCTTCTGTGGAAACCTCATTAGCTGAGACCCTTCAGCTACAGTGGCATAGCTCCCACTGAATTCTCCCACTGAATGTAATCTGGA